GGCCCCGGTAGCCTGAGGCCCAGTACACACAAGAACAGGCCCAGGGCCTGAGGTGGTTGCATGTGCCCAACTGCCTGTGGCCTGTGTTCGGCCCGGTACCCGTATCCAGCCCAGGGCCTGCTTTCCATTCATTCACACAGGCGGCCCAGGGCCTGGGTTTCTTCAACTAACTGGCGCTGCGCAACTGCCTGAATTTCGATGGTTGCGTAGTAGCCGAAAAAGGTCCCTGAGGGCCTCGTCGAGCCTGCCTTCACTTAGGGCGGCCGACTGGCTCCAAAATAGGGGCTGAACGGGGCTCATAGAGGCATAGCCTCCCAAAATAGGAAATAAAATGATTTTAGCCCAGACGCGCAACTGACCCCGGGCCACTCTGGTAGCCTTCTAAAACAACGTTTTTTTTTTCTCCTCTTACGGATGTCCACGCATGCATAGTGGAGAACACTTATGCCACGACCCTGTAGGCCAAGCTTTTTTTTTCTTTTTTCCCTCGCTTTGTACTGTGGTCGTCCTCAACAGCAGACACACAATGCAGCACACCTGTTGCGAGCAACAATGAACCTAAGCAAAAAAAGCGGAAATCGAGCATGTTCTTTTCCAGAAAAACACAGAACAATGGGCAAAAGTCGAAGGGGGGAAAAAAAAAAAAAAAAACAGGAAAAAGGTAACAGAAACGGAAAAAAAAAAAAAAAAAAAAAAAAAAAAAAAAAAAAAAAAAAAAAAAAAAAAAAAAAAAAAAAAAAAAAAAAAAAAAAAAAGAACAAAAAAATTACAGAACACGAACACAAAACCCCAAAAATAAAAAGAAAAGCTGATAACAAACGAAGGTGCCGTTTTTTTTTCTTTTTCTTTTTTTCACAGCGTGAACAACCCCAAAACACAATACTTGGCAAACGACAAGAAAGCACATAAAACAACAGGTAATAGTCACCCTATACCCTTAAAAAAAAAAAAAAAAAAACCAAATAAACAATAAAGAGGTGGAATATAAACGAATTTCCAAAAACAAAAAGCGGAAATTTGAACCCCAAACAGATTGACAATATGCGAAAATGAGCGAAAATAAAAGAAAGTGGAACTAAGGCAAAAACAAAACAATAAAACAAAAAAATAAAAGAACGTGAAATAAATAGAACAGCAAAAAGGAAAAAAAACTAGGTTGTTTTTCCGGACGTCCGGGACCCCTGGGCTGTCCGACCGGACGTAGGACGGTCTCGGACCGGACAAGGGTTGTCCGACGCAAGAAAAAAAAAAAAAAAAAAAAAATTGTTTTTTGAAAAAAAGTCATGTGGCTTCTACCTTGCATAAGGTGTATGCCACCAAAATTTTGGCTCATTTGAGCTAGTAGAAAAAAAGATAAAAATCTTCAAAGTTTCTAATCCCCACCTATACCCCTCCTATCCCCACCAAAACCCCTCGTACCCCCCCCTCCCACCCCAAATAGCACCCTATCACCAAATGCTCAGAAAATTCTGAATTTTTTTTTGGGGGGTCTCTATGGCATGAGCAACACTGTCATTTTTTTTTTATTTTTTTTTTTTTAATGCCAAAAAGTGGTTGTCGTGGATCCCGGACAACCCCCCTACCGGACGGTTGGGGGAGACGTCCGGCCGAGACGTCCGGCCATCGGACGACCGGTAACCTAGAAAAAAACAAAATACACCCGAAAAAGAAAACAAAAGTCGAAACGAACACAGACACGTAAAACAATGGCCTTCCACGGTCCGCCGCGTCAACAGGTTGGTCCCTAAAGCCACGTGGCGCCCCGCGGTCATTCAAGGTTCCGCCACGTGGCAAGGTCGTTTAGGAATGCCACGTGGTGCTCCGCTGTGACAAGTCTCGGGATAGACGAGCAGCATCTCTCTCTCTCTCTCTCTCTCTCT